ACCCACCCCCCCTTCAGAACATGCAGAGCTTTCTGGTGAACTGAGGACACTTAGTATTGACATTTAAAGGAATCATGGGAATAATAACATTTATAAAGCAGAACTGCCATAGAAATTGCTATTTATTTCAAGCAAAGCTTCTCCCAAATCAACATGCTTTGGGTTAAATTCTCTAATTATTATGTGGTTATCAATGACAGCAGATTAGTAGAATAACGTAGAACAAAAAGCTGGCCCACACAGTTAAGAAATAAGTCAGAAGGGGTTTTTAGTATAATACATTAGAGAAGTGCTGAAACAGAAAATTATTGATGTCCAAGTTCAGCCTAACTGAATATTAAGTTGACAAACACTTATTTAAGGTTTGGGGCTTGTTTTAAAAAACACAGTACTGTACACCATGGAACAAAGGTACCTCTTCCATCATGTGATAATTCAAAAAGACTGAGCTTCTGCATATAGCTTAGAAAAAAATGAAACCTCCCAGAAACAGCACAGACAAGAAGGATGGAGCAGAAAATGCAGGAGCTTGAGAAACAAGTTCTCTAAAAAGTTGAGTCATGTAAGAACTGCAACCTAGAGACCAGAGCAATCTGTAGTCAGTGTTGAAAAGCACACACCCAGCAGGGAATTATGGAGGTGTCGTAAGGTTTGGCTATTAGAAGCATGTTTACGAACAGGAGCTGTGCTGTTGTCTCTTGTTTAAATCTCATCTGTCTAAGCAAACTGTGGTCTTGATTCAGCCTCAATTTGTTCTACATGATCTAGAACCTAGACCAGCAGTCAAGTACCACTCAAAAGCTTTTAGGAACTATGAGACCTCAACAAATGAGAGGGCTGGGCAACCCCCAACCATATGAAATTTAACAAAGTCAAGTGCTGGATTCTCCACCTGGGATGAGGCAGGTCTGGATGTCTGTACAGACTGGAGAATGGGATGAGGGAGTGCAGTCCCACAAAAAAGGACCCGGGGGTCCTGGTCGATGGGAAGTTCAACATGAGTCAGCAGTTTCCTGGCAGCCAGGAGGGCCAGGTGTGTCCTGAGGGGCATCAGGAAGTTGTCCCATATTTGAAACTAAACCAAGCAGGATTCAACAGGTAACTGTTGCTACCATGCTAGAGATGGGCCATACGTGTGCTGTATGCAAGAGAAGTAGTGAACAAATGAAGTTTAAAAGCTCTTTTGTTGTTTGATGCCAACAGAGCTAGCCTTTTGGATTAACTAATTGAAAGAGAAATCTTCCTGGGGGAGCACAGGAAATTTGCTGAATACTCAGGGGAATTAATTGGAAGAAAACTTAAGCTTCCTTATTTAAGTGGAGGGATTCTTGGAAGGCCATAGAAGCACTGACTGCACAAAGCTTGTGTTAAGGACCTTCAGTCTTCCAACAAACTCATCAATACAGAGAATTATGTACCTGCAAGCCATAAAGTGAAGTCTGCAAACTCCTCGTTTTAGAAGAGCCTATCTACAGTGATACATGAATCAATGCCTAGTAAAGCCATGTTTTGTCATTGTTGAAATTTGATTTTAGATGTGGAATAGAATTAGTGCTATCTGATGTCTGGTTTTATTAATAGCAAATACAGAGATTCAAGTCCTCTGCACCTCAGTTCATCAGACACATCACCTCCACACCCATTCAGGATACCTGGTAGATATTATGATCATGTCTGCTGGAAGATGTTGCCCATTGGTGACCTTCACAATATCGCCTACAGCTACCTGTGGTGGTCAGGAGTACAGTAGCATGGAAGAGAAAAACAAACAGTTTGCTTGTCTGGAATGTTAGTTTGTTATTTTCTTTCACCCAGTCAGAAGAACAGCATCATGCACAGAACAGCTAGAGACGGTGTTTCTGAAAGTCAGAGTACTTTTCACTGCAAGTTTGGAAATATCAAAGCCTTCCTTTTTCTGAATGCAAAGGAAACAATTCTACAGAGAAAAAAGACAGATGTACTCAATAAGAAATTGTGAACTTCTGTGGCTTATATTTAATAAAAATTACTTTTTTCTATAATTCTGGCATTACCCAATTTCGGGTTTTCTTTAGTCTTTTTTCCCTAGTAAAAAACTTTTCTTTAAACTTTTCCTTCATTAAGTAGCAAGAGTTTTCTTCTATTCCTTATCTACATTATTTACCTATCCAATCATCATTATAATTTTCCCTTAATTCTCCTTAGATGCACTGCTTGTACTAGTCACTAGCAAGTAGTATCATTTCTATGGACTCATAATATAATCCTGTCCTTCCCTGACTGAGATATGCAGAATTCTGGATTCTGGAATACTTTGTCTCCTCCTACACAGGCCTAAGATTTTCCAGCACCTTGAGTTAGTCACACATGCATGGGACTTTCATTCTAAAAAAGAGTCAAGTTGCACTCTCGAAACAGTGAACCAGGTTTGCCTGATAAGCGTGAGTCTGCTTAAATGCCAATGCACCACTGAGAGTCTGAAATAGGCTTAAAATACTTTTAAGATATTAATTTATAAAAATGGAAACAGATGGTATGTTTGAACAAGCAGATTCATTAGTTTTACTCAGACACCACTAAAAATAAATTCCCTACCACTTTCAGCACAAAAAAAAAAAAAAAAAGGTCAGAAGTCTGCCTTAAAGTGATCAAGGTGGGTAACAGAGAACTGTTACTCCTCCTTAACAATAAATGCAAGCCTGGACAACATGCAGTTACAGACACAGGTCAATTCAAGAAGTGCCTAAGGGTATAAAAAACCCAGATTCCAGACTCAACCTTAATCTTTCAATTCACATCAGAATCCCTGGCAATATTCAGCTTCTACTACAGCCTAACATTTCCGCAGGATTGCTTTTAGGTGTCTTGAGACTGATCTCATTCCTCAGAGGTTTTAAAAGGGTGTACTTCTTCCTCAATTACTAGATAAGAGAGCTAATTTTATCCTTTAAAAGGCATTAAGAGCCACAACTAGATCGATACATCCTAAGGCATTTCAGCAACTTCCAGGTCTTAGAAATAAAGCTCACCAGACCCTGGCCAAGGGCTTCACAGAACATAGGTCCCAAGTGCCCCAGGCAGCAGCAGGGCTTGTGTTTCTTACTTGAGCAAGGAGCTTACTAATTAGTCTCAAAGCCCAGGGACTTTATAGCACAGGCAGCAAAGTAAGCCTCTGTTAGACTTGCAGGGGACATAGAGCATTGCAGTGAAAATTACTCTTCTAGGTAGACTAAAAACAAAATACTGTTTACAGTTTACCTATTAACTGCACAAGCAAAAACACAACAGTTCATTAGCATTTGAATGTAACACAGTACCAGGATCTAAAAATGGGTACTCAGGTGCCTTGCTCAGGGCAATTTTGACTACTGGAACAGAAAAGATCCCTCCCACCCCCCTACCCTAAGTGACAGAGAATTCTCATGTAGTATACATTAATTTTAAGCCTCCTATTTAATTCTGGAAAGAGTAATTCTTGAACACTTCTTTTCCCTCCCTCCCATCCTCAGGTTTTATTTACCTCTTTCCACATAATGTTCTGCCACATCCCACTTCTTAGAACTGGAAAGAAAGCTTAAAGTTAGATTACAGAATAGATATAATTCAGACAAATTTCAAAACTCTATCAGCAGTAGCAAACACAATAGAAACCAACACAAAAATCACAATTTTATTTTTCAGAAGCTGGAACTTCTTTTGTTCACAGCTATGGGCATGTAGATCCAAGAAAGAGGAAGAATCTTCCCTTCATATTTATAGAATTTTTATCACCTGCCAGACAACAGTTGGTGGCCTGATTCCTTCATGGCATCACTTCATACTAACATGCAGATGGGCAGCATTGTTTCTTGTTTGGGAAATGACCTTGCTATAAACAAAAGGCACTACTGCCCACTGCCAATCAGTATCAGGAAACACCTTTACTCTGTGTATGATTTACCACAGAATTTTCACTTACTTCTTTTTCCTTGCATTTTATCATAATATTTTGACTCTGGCACATCCAACTTCACTACCTTTACCCATGGCCCATATAAATCTGAGTCTTAATTGCCAAGCAGGCTCAAAGCCCTCCCAAAAAGCAACAGCCAACTTTGGCAGAAGGAGAATCCTTACTGCTATAATTCATATTGAAACAAGAAAAAGAAAACAAGTTACTAAAACAGACCTTGGTTTCTGTAGGGCTCCAGTTCTACACTGCCATCCTAACACACTCATTAGTCATTTACCCTGCATCATGCCTTTCCACCCAAATACCTCCTCTAGGGAATTCTACATATACTTAATACTACTCCAGCCAAAACCAGTAAGGTCAAATATGCCAATTACTGCTCAGTAACCTAAGTCCAGTCCAGGTCTGAGCACAGCAAGTCCACCTCCATTGAAAGCAGCTGCAGCCAGTTTTCAAAGGTGTTCAAAAAGTGCAGTGTGCAACAGATCTAAGCTGAAGAGGTCAGTCCTCTACTTTGAATACGAACCTTCTTCTCCTCAGCACTATGCATTTCATACACTTGAAAATAATACCATAATCAGAAGAAAATTCTGCTGAATACAGCCTTGACCATCCTACCCAGGACAGGCCACTCCACAAACAGGAATGCAATTCTTGTCAGAACAGATCAAGCAGAAAAAACCCATCTCTTGATTCCTCTTCTTGGGCCACACACACTGAAGCACTGAATCTTGATATTTAATGTTGTAGCGAATGGACTGCAGTGACCTAAACTATTTAATAAAAAATGGGTGGGCAGCAACAGAAGCACTGCCAGTGATGTGTCTAAAAACAGCTGAGCTTTCACTCAAACAAGTACAGCAGTTTAGGGGAAGAACAGTTCTGGTACACCCCTTCTGTCCCTCATATACACTGCTCTTGAATTGAGCTCTGCCTAGTTCAGAACTCAGGAGAAGGCCTGAATTACAGAATCTCAAGGGAAAAGCCAAATACCTGCAGCCTTGACTCAAACCTCCAGAGAGGAGTTGCAAAACTCAGTATCTCCTGTGCCACGGTTTAGACAGCTCCCTATACCACTGGAAGGTTTTGGAGACATTTCAGTAAACTTGTCATTGGCATAATTGTATGCTCACACACAAAGGTACTTTGCAGCTTCAAGTGCTACAGACTTGGTCTAGCAGGCAATTTACTTCAGAAAACAATTTCACTTCCTATGCTCACTGAAATTAAATTAGAGAGCAAAATTAAACAGCCAAGCAAATTACTGAAGCTATTTTCTTACTGTTCTATTACTGAACTATTTCCTTTCAAACTCATAATCCCACAGTCTAAAGTGAAAATCTCCATTAGATATAAAACAGTTCAGAAAACTTGGGGTTGCAATTTCACACATCCTACTCTGCTTAACCCAGTTTTATAGGAGTTCTCCAAAGGACAGAAAAGGACATGTATTCTCTAGAATATTTACAGTAGGGTAAAATTGATGAATTATTCGTTGTCAAAAGGTATTTGGTTAAAGTAACAAAGGACAAGTACCTAAAAAGACTGCTTCAATTCAAAAAGAGAGTTTCAATATAAACCTTCTATCTAGGGCTTTCCAAGACCAAAACCCAGTTATAGATCTAGGACTTAATACTGCCACTCACATCCAGCCATGCAGGGCCATTTGAAGTGAGGCTCCTGAAGGACAAGCATCTCCCATCAGTCATGTTCCAGAGTTTGCTAGCCCTGTGCTTGTCTAACATTTGAGTTCATTCCATGCAATATTAAATGCTCATTACTTATTCTACTATTTGGCAACAGGAAGATCAATATATCAAAATAGTTATTACTGAGCCCTCTATATCTGTGCAATACGCTGCTCAGGGAAATTCACCTGGAATTATATGGAGTCTGCTCCCTAGATTTAATGCCATCACCACAGACATCATGTGAAGCCATCCAAAACATAAAACACTCAGAGCCTAAACACACTCCAGCTTCTAGTGCAAATGTTCAGTACTCACCTGGGGCAGAACTTCAATTTTAGTTTACTCCAAAGGGAATTTAATTCCTACATGCCAAAGCCATTCTGCAAAGCAAACTGATGTTTTCTATGGAAATTTTAATACAGGAAGGGAACTTTGAAGATACACTACTGCTCTAAAAAACTGAACAAGATAAATACAAAGGCTACATGACTGCTGTGCAGTAAGCAGCCAGCCATTGCAGACAGTGGAGTTCAGGACACAGCCAAGCAGACAGCAGGCATCTGCTTCTCAGTGAGCTCAAATGCTCTCCACACTGAATGCATTGATTAGACACCACTCAGCTATAAGAGCAACCTAAAGGCACACAGAGAACCTAAATTTATTTCATCTTAATCCCACTCTGAACCTAAAGTTATCTTTTCATTCTGGTAATATGTGTCTCAAGAATAAGCTTCTTTAGCCTCTCCCTCTTAAGAAGTAGGAGGACGCAGTTTCAAGTATCAGATTGAAAGTTTATTTAGAGTATTCAAAGCTAAAAAATAAAATCTGAACTCAATTTTTCAAGTGCTAAGTTCCACTTCGCTCCATTAGAACACCTTGTGTTCTTTAAGGTTGTCTCTCCACAATTACTGTGACAAATGTCCCTTGAAGTGTTTGCTGGCACACGTTCTCTACCTATAAACTAATTGTAACTGCCTCTGCGACCTCTGAAAGGGCCATCTTTCACATTACCTATAAACAAGGCCTGTTGTGCTACAGCCACTTAATTGCCAATTGCTTGTGACTAATACAGTGTTCTTGCACTCAAAACATCTTCCCAGACTCTCGTAGAGACATAGGAGAACTGATAAAGCAATGCCTTTTGATGTGTATTAATATACAAACTTAATGATTGACCCAAACTTTCAAGCACCAAACCCAGTGAAAAAAAAAACAGGCATAATGTTTGCAGGACTATCTGAAGCATGGAGCTAGCAGGTTGTTCACTCCCCCATGTTCCTTTAAGTGTTCTTCTAGAATTTTGACAAGTCAGGTATTTGTCTTTGGGAGGAAGGGGCTCTGCTAGGAGCTCATGTCCCTGTGTTCCCATTTCACCTGCACATTTGTACAGAGGAGCAGAAGTGGAGCTGTCCAACAGGGGAACATGGAGCTGCCTTGATTATGGCACAGGACAATCACAGGGTGGCCATTGACAAGCTCTTCCCATTTTCTGCACAGGTTCTCAGTTGAGGAAGGTGAAGAAAATGACAGTGGTCTCTTCAGACATACAATGACAAGTACTGTCCATGCCTTAGGGATACACATAGGCATTCAGTGGATATCGGTGTTAAATTCTCTTTCAGTGACACTTCAGGAAAGCAAAGCTAAAAAATCCCCAGACTCATTATATTTAAAGGGCAGCGGCATTTACAAAAATTATTTTAAATTCTTCTGACAGCAGCTTTTATCATTTCAGGGAGTTGTATTCTAATAATCCTCCCAATGCCTCACCCTTAAGTGTCAGACCATCAAACATCCATCTGAAACCTTTAGTGTCAGATCATCAAACATCAGTCTGAAGCCTTTAGCAAAGTAAAATCCTAAATTACTGTTAAGTACCTAGTGCACAAAACATGCAATCCTCACCATCATGACAGTTAAAGCAATAGAATTGTTCAAAAGTAAGCATGCACGATTTGCATTTTAAATACTTACATACTGTTTAGTCTTACCTACTGTTTTCTTTTTATTCACTGCACTGTCTGCCTTATGCCTTTTCTGTAAGGAAACAAAACATTTCATTACACTTCATCACAAATTCCAGAACCATTAGAGCTAAAAATACAACAAACTGCAAGATGATACATTGGGTCCTTCTTGCCTTTATGGGTTTTTTTGGTTTTTTTTAAAAGTCACAGATCATCACAATGCAAATGGTTTGTGAAAA